TCAGCTGAGCCACCCAGGGTCTCCAGTATGAGAGCGGTGTTGAAAGACAAATAAACAGCTCAATCACCCATCAGGCCTGACTGCCAAGCTGATTACAGCCAGTTTTCACAAAGCCTGGTTAAACAGAGAATTGGTCCTGTTCACCTAAGCCACCTCAGTGGGCCAGGTACTGTAGGTGTCACATACCCACACCTGGGTGGGCACCTGTGTGGATCAGCACATCGGTGACTTCTTGTAGAACCATCAAGGAGATCACAAAACTTGTGTGGCTGTAGTAAGCTAAGGAATGGAAATACCTGAGTTTCAGAGAAGTCAGGTCTCAGGAAAGACAAAAGCACTTTACCTCAACTGTGAAAAATACCTATGTAACACTGCAAACTTCCACATCTTGTTCCTCTTCTTCGGCAAAAAGGGGAATCTTGCTTTTTAACTTTCCTTTTCTGGTTCTTTGAGCTGAAGTGCAAAGAACTGGTTGAATTTCTGGTACCGTGACTACTCTCTTGCCAGTACCTCTTTAATGTGTGTCTTGTGCCAAAGAATATTAATTACTGTAGGCTGCAATAAAGTCCATCCCTACCCCCACTTGAGCCTCCGAAATGAACAGAAGTTGAACTTTGCCAGCAACTGTTAGGAAAAGGGCCAAGAACAGCCTAACAGGAAAGATACTCAGGATTTTTTGTTTGTTTTTCTTCTGCTAAACCACGGTTTTGTAATTATGAATACTTTGTTGAAATTGCGTGGAAAAGGAAGTACACAGAAAATGGTCCATACAATTAAACTAACTACATATTACTGTCGAAAGAATATAAGGCTGGTCTCACTCTGTTGCACTCACACAGACAAAACCCCTTCTCAGAAGGAATTTGGCTTGAGAAGACTGATCGGGAGACAAACCTTAGTTAACTTCAGGCCCGTGTGCCTTATTGTTTGGTTTATGACTGCCCCAAATGGCGTAAAAGCAAAGGACATTCACGCTGAACAAAAGCATTGGCTGAAAGAAAGAGAAAAGAGGAATTTGAAAGCTGTCATTTCCAAATCCCTTCTACTCAAAAGTTATTTCTTGAGTTGGGACCAGGAACCCTGAATAAGGCAGCAGTTAGTTCATGCTCCTAAAATCTATCTTCTACTAGATTGAAAAGAAACAGAATTACTTTATTTTGCTCAGATTCATTTAATGTTGCTTTAATCAGTCCCCATTTGTCCCTGCCACTTCTCCCCAGGCTTAGGTTTGTAAAATCCCAAATTGCTAAACTGAGATCACTTGCCAAAGCAGCTTTCTCTTACTTTCCAGGATGGATGATTACAGGGTATCCAGAAAAGTTTATCAAGTGTGAGAAATTACAACTATGTCCCCTAAGTAGATAAATAAATAATGTAAAGGAGTAAGGAGTAAGTTGCTGTAGGGCAACTTCAAACTTCTGTACTTCATACAGTGTTTTATAATTTCAATTTAAGTGGTTTTCTCTAGTCAGCAGCCTGCTCCTGACCCCCATCACACTAAGGCATATGTAGTATAAAAGGCATATGTCAACCTAGAGTGAGAAAGCTTGATATTTGGCTTATACAACATTTTACAATTCAACCTCAAGAAATTCTTGGTTTTAGTTAAAGGCAAATTAAACTTATCCTTGAATGATATAGTGAACTAAGCTTTTAGAAGCATATATGCAATATTTATGTCTTGTCAAGCACTTTCACTTTCCATAGTAACAAACCCCCTCCTCCATACATAAAAAGGATTTGATCCATAAACAATATTGCTGAAAACATGTCCAAAAATAATAAAGTAGACTTTGCTTTAAAAATTTAGTTTTTAAGGCTGATTCTGACCTTGAACAGTCCCTTATATAAGCAAGTGTATGCAGCCATTTGGCCAAGATCAAAATAAAGCCTCCCATCTCCTCAACACACGGTACCACAAAGCACATTATAGTGGGAAACTGCTAAAGTATGTGTGACTATTTTTACCGGCCCTGCGTGTAATCGTGTAGAAGCCTGCGACAGCAACTAACTATTGCCATCTTAAGGTAGCCCTTAGTACTGTTGCAGGTGAAGTCGAGCTAGCTGTTCCTGCTGCTGTGCACTGCTCTTGTACCCCCTGCCACTTGCAAGCTCTTGAACGAGGTGGTTACAAGTGCTCGCTCCAAGGTTATTGCAATCCTGCAGTACAGCTCTCTTTTGAAAGATACACAGAATATGTTTAAAATTAAGGAAAGGATTGCAAGATAAACATTTTCCCTCTCCTTCCTTTCTCTTACACAAAACTGTAATAAAGACATCTAACCCCTGGCCAAGTAGGTCTGCCCAATCCAGACCTCTGCTTCTAGCAACCCTAAGTGCTACTGTCATGTTTGCTTTGCCTAGCTGTGTACCTCTACAGCCTACCTGCCTAGACAGTTCCGTAACCATGTAAGGCTCAAAGTGCTTCATTTACGTTGTAGATATGGTGCAAGATGAGTATTGAGCTGATTTACACATAGGAAGTACAGGCACAGAACTAAGAAGAGCTGCAGTCAGGGGATTCCTACCTTCCAGGCCGAGGATGACAATCTCACAGAGCTAAGGAACATGGTGTCTTTTATCTGTAAGACACATCTGAAATTTTGGGATATTTTAATACCAACAAGCAAGTAGCTTCTAGCTGAGCAGCCTGTGACTACTTCTGTGGTCACACATATTCTGTCATTCCCGCAATTCCTCTCTCTGAGCAGGAGCAGTGATGACATCAGGGCAGGGTACAGGGAAAGTTAGAAATGTGGAAGACAAGCCTTCCCACATCATTGGTTCCAAACCCACCCACAGAGGGAGTGAATGCAGTGCTACATTCTTCTGTAAAAGAAATTTGGTATTTTCAGTCCAATGGACCTGGGGAAAAGCTTCCTGTCCCTGATGCGTTTTTCAGCCACAGGTACTTCACAGGGAAAACTGAAAAGGACACGAAATGGCCATCTCAGATCTGCACAAGTGCACCAACATGATAGCACTGACACACAGTGGCAGGAAAACAGGTATCTGCTGTTGTACCTCTTGTGAGACTGCAAATGAGATCTGAACACTCTAATCACAGTTTCTCCTGAAAGAACTTACAGAGATAAGCCTAGACAACTCAAATTAAAACCAGTAATTCCTAAAATCTGTCGATATGCTTTTCTTTTGGATGTAAAATTTACCCTTAAATACAAAAGCATCCAAATTTATCAAAACTTTTCAACTGTATCACTGCAACTCTCCTACACATTTGGCATCCTGCAAGAACATTAAATTAATTAATGTAAAAATTAAAACAGTTCCTCTTGTTTGTTGCCCTATCCTTTTACTGTTTTACCTTTAAATATTGCAACCAGACCTGTCCCAAAGGCAGGCATGTCAACTTGTTACCCTCAGCTGCTTTTCGTTGCAACAGAAATGCTATTTAGTTTCACTAAACTTCACCAACCTTGCATAAAGCTCTACCAATCTATTGTGAAACACTTGGGCAATTCAACACAAATCTGGCATCAAAGACAGTCAACCTTAAGGTGCTTTAATTTGCTTTTACAGAAGTAACAGAGCATGTATTTAATTTGGTATTACTGATTTGTACTTTAAATAGGCATAAGGTTTCTGTTCTTAGAATTATTGCATCATATGCTTTCTCAGTATAGACAGCATATAGCTACACAGTCATTTATACAATCAACCTAATCCGACTTTTGCAAAAAACATTAAACATCTTCTTAAGTTACCTGAACATGTTTAGAAGTTCTGACTTGTGTGACCAAGTCACTTCAGCCCCAGTGTTCTCAGACTAAGATCCTATGTGCCTTTCTCATTGCCCAGTTCCCCACGGATGAGCAGCAATTCCCTTCTTACTCTGTCCAACACTGGCACCCAGTGGTCAAGTGCTTTCACAAACACTTTGGGAATCGGCAGTTGTTCAATTCCTACTCAGTGGATTTCTTGAACACAGCTAGTCTGTTTAAATGCACTAGCTGTTCAATTATTGAGGTTCAAAATAGTACCCATTATCTAAATGGTTTAGAAAGCCTGAGACTACCATCGCTAGTGAAGACTAGCCAGAGCTAGGAATAATGCACAGCACCCAAAATGCTGCACTGAAGGCAGCCAGTCACACCCTAACAGGAGACAAGGTTACCATAGGGTCAAGCACATCAGCAAAATTATTCTTTTAAAGAACAAGTATGCCACCTCAAGCAATGAGATATTTTATATGTCCTTTTTTAAATAGCTACAGACTGTGAAAGGACTCCTAGGCAAGAGAAAACTATTTTGCCCTTGGTGATGCAGCTCTCTTTTTCTAAAGGTCCTAGTACTCAAGCCAATTTCCAGAAGTGCGATACAGCACATCAAACAAACTACACTTAATGCAATTTCCCAAGAATCAAAAGCAGTACTAGGGCTAACAAAGCTCCCAAACATTAAAAAGCATTCAGGAATCTCCATACTACGTTATTTTCCATCAGTAGCCAGAAAACAACGATGCTTCAAATTTGGGGCATTAACCAAACAGAAACATGTAGAAGTGAGCACGGATGCAGAGTCCAGGACTAAACTCTGAAAAATTCCATTTAACATTCTTCCCTCTTACACAGTGAAATTGGTTGCAGGTGACCCATGCAGTCTCTCTAAATAAGTACACGGAAGTCAAATGTCAGGATAGCACATCAGAGAGAGAAAGGAGAAGACAGGAAAAGCAAGCTATGAAGTGCAGAGAAGGCAGCACGAACAAAACAGATGCTTTTCTCGCTAAACCAAGGCCGAACGGGAAGCATTACCAGAATAGTCTGTGAACCTAAATTTTATTAGGTTTAAACTCTCCCATATTGCAGCATAAGAGATTGTGAGAAGGGGGGTTAAACTCTCATTGGACTTAGAATGATCAACAGATTGAGATGCACAAAACTGACTTGTAACTTTTAGCTGCTTCCTTACCAGGAACTGCTCTGGTTTCTAAAAAACACCACCATTTCTAACAAAGAAAATACTCAGCATTACAGTAGTTGAACTTCTTGAAAAAATTTAATAAGACCAATGTCTTCATAACACAGGTAAATTGTACATTATAGAATACTTGTTTATAAGGGAACTGAATTAGTCTTTTCGCAATTGGATACTTTGCTCTTTAATTCCATCTTTTGTGACAATGCAAATCTTAAGTGCATCCCCAGTGTACACATCTCTCTCAGCAGCAGAAATAAAGACATCCTTAACCAGCTGCAAAGCCTTTTCCAGGGTCAGAGGTACGTGTTCCACATTTTGCATGTTCTTGAAGCCAATCTAAGAAAAGATGAAAATGCATTTTAAAGGAAGTATGATCCATCTAGCATGAAAGCTGTTTCAGTCTCTGCACTAGAATTAACAGATTTAGACAAATTAAAAAGAAGAAAAGGCTTGTCTGTTTTAAAAACCCAAAGCTGACAAAGGCGTTCCTCCACACAGTTTACAGTTGAAAACTTTGCCAATGCTGATACTCTTAGAACAGTAACAAGAAGCAGATCCAGTATACAGCTAGCACAGCTGCTCGTGCTCATTCAGCATATACAAGATCACAAAGAACATTCAGATCTGAACTGATCTAATCCTTCAAAAACTTTTCACCAGGTTAGCAGCATCATAACTGCACACAAGCCTTTTCTCTCTAGTCACTTGTGGCAAGGAACATTTCTTAAAAGCAAATACTCCTCAGCGTACCTAGAACTCAAAAATAAGTCTATACTGGAGCACATCTGATCATACTAAATAGTGCATTTTACCTGATAAATCTAAGCGTCAACTTAAGCATCAGAACAGGTAAACGAGAAGAGTAGTGCACTTTGCCTGAAACTCATAAGCAGTAAAAAACTACTTACGAAAACTTTGTTTGTGCAGAAGATATTTTATTTCCTTCAGTTAATAAAGTTCAAAACTAAGTCAAAGCTGAGAACATGCTGTTATTTAAATTTTAAAAAAAAGGAAAGATTCTATTCCTTTCTCAGCTGATAAGAGTCAAGAGTGCTTATTCCTTTATTACTTTTTTAAGCACAAAATTTGTGTTGATATCAGGCTCAACTGACTAAATACCAACACCGATGTCAGCGAATAAAATGAGTAAAACATGCTTTGGTATTTCTCCCATTCAACCACTAACAGCAGCAACTAAATACGAAAATATTCTTAGAGTATTTTTAGACAGAGTCAACTGAATAACCTTCCATTAATTTTATGTAAGAACATTCTTAGAAAATGGTATCTGAGTTGTACAAAACTGAAGACTCAAAGAAGTGTATATTAAGTGATAAAATGTATGTACTAATTATACCTTCTTATTTTGGTATTATTTCATGCTAAGTAACAGGCACATTTATGTTATCAGCTAAGAAAAAACCCTAAAAAACAAAACCCAGAAAAAAACCCCTAAACAACTTCTATGAGAAACCTAACTCCCTAATTAAAATATGTATCTGTCTTTTAAACAGGTGCTGCACTGTTAGTTACATATTAAAAACCTGAACAGATCCCAAAGCAAAACTTTGATCTCTCCTGAGAAAGTAATGCCACATAATTTATAAATGCATGGATTAACAGGTCATACCTGTAATAGATTTAAAACGTCTCTCAAAAGCAGTACTTCTCAGAAGTAAAGCTACATTTGAATGTCACAAATGTTTACTGAGATAACGAAGGGAAAAAACCAAAACCCAATAAACTACTTTACCTGGTTATCCAGTAAAGGTTGCAGCATGGCACTTGCTGATCCACCTGCTTTGAAAGAATCCCTCTGGTATGAGCCCACTGGATCAAAGCTATATACTGCTCCCTTTCCTGGAAATCAAACAAAAACATTAGCATCTAGTAACAATTCAGAAAGATTCTCAACACTGATAACCATATACAACAAGAACTAGCACTCTCAGTAAGCAGTGTCAGGAACACCACAGATCCCAGAAAACCTTTACCAAACAATATTTACTGCAGTATGTTCAGACAATGCTTTGTACAGTAGGCTCACTATGGTTGTGGCCTGGTATGATTTCCAAGGTTATTTTCTCTATTTAAGCTACAACCATGCTCCAACAGATGTTTTCTACACTACTTACCACAGAAAAAGTGTTGATGTGCAATCAAAGCAGAAAAATATGCCAGAGCATAGTGCTGCAGAAGGAACCCTGGAGGTTCTAAGGCTAACACCAAGAAGCAGTTTAGGCATCGTTCTTAACACCATAGTTCTTGAATTACATCCAGAAAGCATACTTTTATTCCTCTGCATTGCACTCCCAGAACCAGGGATGATGTTCTGGTCTCTTAGACCAGAGCAAAGTTGACTGGCTTGCACTAACATCAGAGGTGCAGACACACTGCAGCACTGAAGCATAGGGGTTTGATGAGGACATGCCAGTCAAAAGGCAGGACCTGGCCAAGCCCCGCCTTTCTGTTCAGACAGGCTGCACCAGATCCAATGAACTGGCCAGAGCACTTGGAAGCACGGCACAGGAGCTGAAGAGCCCTGAGAAAGCTAGCCAAATCAAAAATCAATCTTACTGGACCCAAGCTAAGTCCATGCATGCAAACCTACATTGAGCAACTGTTACAGCACCCTCATAATCTGAAATTTACCATTATGCAAGGCAGACTAATCCCCTTCCAGACTCCACATACCGCAGACATGTCTTAGCAAGACTGGGAAAGCAATATAACTTAATGGTAACAACAAACTGCAAGGAATGGCTGAAATTATCCAAACAAGACCACCTCGGAGCTCCTTCTCAAAGCCAGAGAACACAGTATTTCATCAACTCAACCAAATCACTGGACAAGAGCCCAGTAAGTCCTGGAAGGGCTGTACATTAAACTACAGCTTCCGTGTAGAAATCATAATTTTCATCAGACGTCAGTTAACAGTTAAAAATGACTTTGTAGAAACCTGTCTCTGGAGTAAATCTTCATATATAATAATCTCTACCACACTCACAGGTCTGGGTAAAATATACACAATTTTACTGGTAACATCTCCTTTAAAGGTGCAATTAAGAAATCCAGCAAAGCTGTTAAAAAGTTTTCCAGTCTAAAGTATGAAAGATTTCACTTGTAGAGATTTTATTTGTAATCAAATATTTATAACAGTTTTTAGACTTTCACACCTTCAGAAACAGAAGACCAAATTAGCAGCAAAAACTAGGAAACAAGTCAGATGTATAATATGTATTTGATCTGTGTAAGTATCATAATGCCTAAAGGTAGGTGTTATGAATAGGAACACAAAATTTGTTATTCCATCAATACACCTGAGATGCAAAGGGATAGCTTTCCACTCACAGAAATTCAGCCTCTCCTTTTTAGCTTTTTTTGTGTAAATTCTTACCTTCTTCATCAAGTCCACCAATTATGTTATAAACATAGTATGGAAAGAAGCGTCGAGAATACAGGATTGTAGACAGCATTGCTGCAATAGCCCCAGTAGTCATGGTCTTGTTATTGGAATGCTTGTACATCTGCCAGTGGTAGAGCACATCGAAGAAGAAAGTCAAACACTAAATCTGACATTCAACCAAAATTCATTTTCTGTAACCTCATTACAGAAGAATCTGATGTTAAGCAAGATTTTTAACTAGCATGATTACTGACAACACACTTGTCTAAAAGTTAAAGCCTTCTTACAAGCCAAAAATTAAATGTCTTTAAAGTTTTACAATTAATAGATGTTACCTCATTAACACTCTCCTCTCCAGCTTCTCCATTCTTTAAGTTTGTGATGTCACAGTTAGTAAGAACACAGCATCAACTTCCCCTGCCTGATCTTTCACTAGCCATACAGTTAAGATACAGACATTTGAAGAAGAACAGCAAAAACTGTATTTAAAACACATAATATTATGATTCAAGCATAATATTAAGAAGGTAAGTTTCTAAATACAATAATATAGGTAGTTACCTTTAATCTCGCTTCAATAATTTTAGTAAGGGTAAGGCAATCACCATGGAAACCAGTGCTTCCAATGACTGTTTGTTCTGTTCTGAAAAACGTAACATTTTGTTGCAATTTTAGATTTAGTATGAACTAGAGCATTTTCTTACACAGTAGGTTATTTTGAGAACACCAAAATGTATTTTCAGTTCTTCTAATGTTATCAAAAACAGTTGTCTAAAATGTAGTAACAGATCTGTGGTGTATGAAAGGTAACTGCAACCTACATCTTGGAGATGACTCATCAAGCACAGGACCATGCAAAGCCTGTCTTCAAACCACCTTTCTTCAACTGTCAGTAAGACCAATAAGAAGAAATTCTTAATTTCTGCATGCACTCCTCACTCTATCTATTACAATTTGGTCTTGCTAAAGGATGTGTTTTACACTGGGGAGCCACAGATCCTATCACTCGGTCCAAATTTTACTCCATCAGACCTGAGGGCTGCATTAAGCTTGTACAATGGTTACAGGACATTTATGGAATCAGTGCAACAGAAGTTATCTGGCTGTAGATGCATTACAAAAGCTTAGCTCTCTGCTCAGTTTCAAAATGCTTCATGAACTAGCCACAGCGACACACCCTTGAAATTTAAATTCTAGTAAAGAGGAGTCTACAAACATTAACACATACAGACTAACACAAAGCAGTCCTTCAGAAAACACCTCAAAATGCAATCTTCTCTCAGCCTGTCACTAGAATTGCACAAAGCAATCGTGTGCAGTATGCAATTTCCATTTGGGCAGTATCAGAGAGTCAAAGATATAGTAAGGAGTTAGCCAGGAGAAATGTAAGTTCCTTTGATGCCGTGTCAACAATTTAGAAAAGAAAAAAACACAAAGAAAAAAGGAATCAAAAAATGATGGCAGCCTACTAAGTAAATACCTGCTGCAGTTGAATGAATGTAAACAACAGGTAGTTTTAGACCAAGGAGATGCTATCTGGGTGAGTCAAGAAAAGCATAAAATGAGCATAAAAAGTTCAATAATGGAACTACTGACAGGTTTACCTTTCCTAAAACAAACGCTTCTCCAAAGTGCCGGGTGTTTAACTAGAGAGAAACTGTACAACTGACTGCAGGGGGCACACCTGCGTACTAACACTAGGTGCCCTGATGAAGCAGAATGAGTTACCACAGGATTAAGTTTGGCTACAGTAAACGCCAAAGTTCTTCTGATTATCCGGCCAAAAAAACCTACCACCTAGCTTACATTAAGCCTTGTGTCATGCTAAAATAGTTCTGTTATCAGCTAACTTCAAGAGCATGAAACACTAGCTATCTTTACAACATCACATCACATCTTGAATTACAGCAATGTTCGACATTACTCCAAAATCTACTTTGTTACTGTGCTTTTTGTGTAAGAATTCTACTTAAAGCAGGAGGCAGGTGACATGGTCAGCAATACAAAACATCTTTCATCTGTTTCAATTTTTGCAAGATCTGGACTTACAGCTTGTAGCATTTTGGGCTGTCCCGGCAGTGAATTGCATAGCCTTCACTGAGCCGCGTGTCAGAGGCAACAATAGAAAAGTCTTCCCCAGCAATCGCCAGCACAGTCCTTAAGGAAGAGTATTGATATAATCATGAGTTTCAGCACAAATATTTTCTTAGGCAACACAGAAACAGACTAGATAGGAATTCTATATCCAGACTCACATTTTGTCAAGCATGTTATATTCCTTGCTATGTTCCCCTCTATGCACATCCCTACACATAACCCAAGACCAACATAAGAAGGTAACAGACTCAGTGAGGAAAATATATGTACGTGACCCTCTACTTTGACTAAAAATCGTATGGAAACTTGGTAAAACAGAGTCCCTACACCAGGCAAGAAACAGACTCAATAGACTTAAGTCTTTTAGATACCTGATAATGATTCACCCTTCTGAAACAAGCAAAGTACTAAGTAACAGTATGAGGACACTTAAATTATCACCACTTTTTAAATCTGATGTTATTGTATTGACTTCCAAACAACTAGCTTTGTGATTCCCACAGGTGTACTACCATTAAGTAACAGATGCCCTTTAAAAAGTAGTTAGGCACTATAAGAAAAAAACCAAATAACACTATCCTCGCCAGATCCTGCCACCACCTCAGATGCGTAAAACATCGCCCGCCTTAAACAGGTACAGCAAGGCAGCGTTCAACACAGTTACATGTTTACTAGCTACAGGACGAGGAGCAACGGCCATAAACTAAAACACAAGAAGTTCCACTTCAACAGGAAGAACTTGTTTACACTGAGGGTGGCAGAGCACTGGAACCGGCTGCCCAAGTACGCTGTGGAGTCTCCCTGCCTGGAAACATCCAAAACCCACCTGGATGGGTGGGTTCCTCTGTCATCTGCTCTAGGTGATCCTGCCTTGGCAGGAGGTTGGACCGAATGATCTCCAGACGTCCCTTCTAACTCTAGCAATTCTATGACTCTGCAATATGACCAATTCCTACGTTTCCTGAGGCACGGAAAAACGTTCCCCGGGGAACAAAAGGTGCTTATTTTACGAGCAGTAACTGTTTAGGGAGCCCGAGCGTGCCAAAAGCCACGCACGAACAACCTGAAGGGCTGCACGGACCCAGGGCAAGGCCGAGCCCTGCTACCCCTCGTGCTGCCCTTCTTTCTCTGCAAGGAGGAGCTCCGGAGGGGAGACAAACCCGCCCTGAGCAACCGGGGGAAGCAGGAGTAAGGTGGGCAGCCCCAGCCCCATCGCCGCCCTCCCCCGGACGCCTCGTCCCGGCCCGCTCGCTGCCCGCGGCTGCTCACCCTCCGTTGAAGGTGTAGGGCGAGAAGCGGTAATGCTGTACGGGCCCGTCCAGCTCATAGCCCATCTCAGGCCGGGAGGGCCCGTATCCCGCTGCGGACAACATCGCCAGCGGTGCTGTCTCACGGCGAAATGGCGGCACCGGAGGCGGAAGCGGAGCCGCTCTGGGACGGCAGCACCGCCTCCTCTCGGCTGCTCTGCCGGGCGGAGAGCGCCGTGCCCCGGCGGGCGGCCTGCGGGGCCGCGGTGGGGGGCGGTGCTCGCCCGTGCCCCGCTATCACCCGCCCCGTCCTTCCGCCGCCCCCGCCAGCAGCTCGGTGTGCGCCTGGGCCCTCCTGGCAGCACAGGCACCGGTTCTTGTCCTGTCCAAGCGCTGCCAGCCCCTGACATCTGCGTGCCCGCTCTTGGAAACGCGCAGGTTGATAAGCAGCTGTGGTGGAGTTATCAAAGAGCATCTAGTATTTGGGTAGGTGGGGACCAGGGTGGCTCTGGCTCTGTAAGAGGGAGCACCTTGAGAACTGCTGTGAAGACCAAGGGTCGGGAATCACAGAGTGGCTTGGGTTGGAAGGGACCTTAAAGATCATGTAGTCCCAACCCTGCTGCCATGGACAGGGACATCTTTCACTAGACCAGGTTGCTCAGAGCTCCATCCAATCTGGCCTTGAACACTGCCAGGGATGGGACATCCACAACTTCTCTGGACAACGTGTGCCAGTGCCTCACCATCCTCACAGCGAAGAACGTCCTCCTAATAGCTAATCTAAACTGATTCTCTCAGTTTAAAGCCCTTCCTCCTTGTCCTGTCACTACATGCTCTTGTAAAAAGTCCCTGTCTTTATTGTAGGCTCACTTCAGGTACTGGAAGGCTGCAATTAGGTCACCCCAAAGCCTCCTCTTGTCCAGGTTGAACAATCCAAACTATCTCACCTTTTTCTTGTACGAAAGGTGCTTCATCCCTCTAAGCATCTTGGTGGCCTTCCTCTGGACTCACTCCAACAGGTCCAGGTCTTTCTTGTGCTGAGGACCTCAGAGCTGGACACAGTACTCCAGATGGGGTCTCACCAGGTCCTTGAGGTGGGCTATGAGCTGCGGTGCCAGGTGCCATGGCATGAGTAGAAATGAGAGAAGAGCTGGGGTAGAAGCTTAAAGTGGTGCTAGGGGAGAAGGCCAGGGGGACAGGGAGATGCAGGGGACACGTGGTGTTCTGGAGGAGAAGTGTGTCACTCTGCTTGGGAAGCACAGCTGCAATGGCTGCAGCCTCCATGGGTGCTGCACATAGACAGCAGCAAGAGCCACTGGTGCAGCACTGCAGTGTGTAAGTCTGTACAGCTATAATGTGGGGAACAACCTCCAGCACAGCCCCTGCGACCAGGTCTCGTGCACTGCAGGATTGGTCAGGCTGGAAGGGACCACAGTGGGCCACCTCCCTGCTCAAGCAAGATCATCCAAGAGTACATGGTACAGGACTGTCTCCAGATGGTTCTTGAATATCTCCAATGAGGGAGACTCCACAACCTCTCTGGTCAATTTATTCTAGTGCGCAGTCACCCACACAGTACAGAAAGTTCTTCACATTCAGGTGGAGCTTCCTGTCCATCAGTTTCTGCCCATTGCCTCATCCTATGACTTGGCATCACCGAGAAGAGCCTGGCTCCACCCTCTTGACACCCACCCTTTAGATATTTATACACAGTCATCTCTTTTCTAGGCTGGACAGGTCCAGCTCCCTCAGCCATTCCTCATAAGAGAGATATTCCAGCGCCTTAATCCCTGGACCCGCTCCAGGAGCTCCATGTTTCTCTTGTAGTGAGGAGCCCAGAACTGGAAACAGTACTCCAGATGTGGAGTAGAGGGGCAGGATAACCTCCCTCGATCTGCTGGAAATGCTCTTCCTAATGCACCCAGGACACCATTGGCCTTCTTGGACACAAGACCACACTGCTGGCTCACGGACAGCTCCTTGTCCACCAGGACCCCCCAGGTCCTTCTCCGCAGAGCTACTTTCCAGCAGGTCGGCCCCGAGCCGGGGGTTATCACTCCCCAGGTGCAGGATCCCGCCTTTGCCCTTGCTGAATTTCAGAAGGTTCTTCCCAGCGAAGGTTCCTCTCCCGGCGGCGGCAGGAAGTGACGCGATGGGCGCGCCGGCGGGGCGGGGGCGGGTCGGACCGTGGTCCGGCGGGCGCTGAGCGCGGCGGGAGCGGAGCGGGGCAGCAGGTACCGAGCCCCGCCGGGCGCCGCGGCCGCCGCACGCCCGCTGCCCGCGGAGAGGGCGGTGGCTGCCGGCGGGGCTGCGATGGTGCGGGCCGGGCCGGGCCGGGCCGGGCCTGGAGGGCGGGGACGGTGCGCGGAGCCGGGCTCTCACCGCGCCTCCGCGGCGGCCTGAGCCGCGGCGGGGAAAGTGGGGAGGGACTCCTCTTTCCCAGCCGCCTTGCTCTGCCCCGCCGCGGGGCTCCGGCGTGGCTCAGGGGCGAGCGGCGACCGTGGCGGCGGGGGCGGGCTGGGCGCGGGCAGCGGCGGGACCCTGCGCGCCACCGGGGCCGGTGCTGGATGGGGAGCGGGAGGGGTTGGAGGGCACCGGGAAGCGGTGGCCACCGGGAAGTGGTTGGGGAAGGAGCCCGAACGGGGCCTCGGTGGTGGGTCGGGGCCTCTTCCGTGGTGTCTCCTGCTTTTGGACTCTGTTCCCTCGACCAAAACGTTACCCAGCGTTTGTAGTGACGATCCAGGCAAGCCTCGTTAGGTGGTTACAAGATGGGCCTCTGCGTAGCCGGTGTCCTCGCCGCAGGCTCTGGCATGCCTGATAACCTGTCTTCTTACCAAACAGCTGGGCTGTCGAGGAGTTGGCTTTATTTCTTCCAGGATGATGTCTAGGCTTCTAATGTACTCCTGTCTCCAGGTCATAAAACCTGGATGCTCTGCTTGATACCTTCGGTGAGGGTAAAGATCATAATATCTTATGGTCACGGGGGAAAAAAAAGCAGACCTTTTTAGCTGCAGTGTAAATATTGTAATTCTAAGCTCTCATATTTTTTTAAAAAAAAAAAAAGGCTGAATAAGCTTTCTTCAGACTTTGAGGTGGCCAACCTCCGGCCTGAAAATGACCTTGAGTATTTCTAGGCGATAGTTAAGAAACTTACAAATTAATGGGAAAATATTTTATATCGTTGATAGCATAAAATTTAAATTCTTCACCTAACTTGTTTATTTATGTAAGACAGCAACAGAGGTATAGTTGAAAAAATCAAATCATATGGATGTTTCACTTGTACATCTGAAATAAGTTTTCACATATTTATTTTTTTTCTGATAAAGCACATGTCACTGTTGTTTGAAGTCTATTGGAAGTGGATAAGAGGTTTTCCTAGTTCTGATTTGACCAGTGATGCTTTTCTCATAGAAAAAAAAAATAACTTCTGAAAGCCCAAGCCTTAAAATTGTCAGGAAGAGACTTACAAGCAATGTGTCAGTAAGCTTTTTGGTTAGTAGTCAAGGGAATTAAATTCTAAAAAAATCTGTGCTTTTCTAGCTAAAGCAAAGCTTAGAGTAGAATGAGCATTGATAGCTTGAATTGTTTGTGCAGGGAGGTTTGGTTAGACAGAAGCCTGCCCATGTGGGTCAGGTAACCTGCGAGGAACTTCAGCAGAATCACGCTGCAAAGTTTCTATGGAGTGTGCCTGAAAAAGGTTATTTTTATGGATTGTGCATGTGTGTGTGCATATGCGTGAATTTTCTTATATGTATTTATACGTGGGTGTGTGTCTTTTATCTGAGTCAGCAGCTCATAGGTTTGCTTTTCATTTTATTTTTAGATATTATTCTCAAGATATTACTCTTTTTTTTTTCAGATTTTTCTTGGTGTTTTAGACTCATAACATATTTCTCTGGAGCTGATGTTTTCCTAGCACCTTTCAGCTTGGCTTTAAAAGCTACTTTGCTGGAATGTTTTAAACAGTTAAAAATCCTCTAGGATTTGGAGTTTATTTAAATTAATTGAAGGAAATACTTCTGGCCTCACCAAAGAAATAACTGGAATCATGGATCAGAACAACAGTTTGCCACCCTACGCTCAAGGCTTAGCCTCCCCTCAGGTAAAAGCAAATGATCTAAAATGCAACTATTATCTGATTTTTTTTTTGTGTGAAAGCATTTTCCATTTCTTGCATGTAACTTCAGGTTTTTTTGTTTGCAGATGTGAAAAATTCTGCTAGGTATCAAATAATACTAGTATAAAGCAGAATTGTAAAACCATCAATGTAGATATCCAGAGGTATAAGAAACATGCAGATACATGGGGTTCCTCTTAGTAGAAACATGACTGACAAGTTGGAAAGATTAATTTAATTTTGGTGGTTGCCCTTTAAACTACGTGCAAATAGATTGTTGCTGGGCTAAGAATGTGTTTGGTGAAATGGGCACAGTCTGTGTTCAAACAATTGCAAATTAAATTGTGAGTCAAAGTTGAGACGTGCTTGCAAGGTAGTGTGAGAAACGTGTCAGATCCCTAGGGGTAGTGTTTTATTCTATAAAACGTTTATGCTTTATTCTGTAAAGCATTTCCAAGGACTTTCTGTTTTTAACAAGTTACTACTGTGTGCTCCAGGTTTGAGATTATCAACTCAATTTACATAGATTTATTTTTAGACCCCCCCTGAAAACTTTGTCTCTTAAAAACAAAATGGAATCAACATGATCTGTGGTTTCTCTTTCATGTTTGCTTCTCTAGGGTGCAATGACTCCAGGAATTCCCATTTTTAGCCCAATGATGCCATATGGCACAGGACTGACACCACAGCCTGTCCAGAGCACCAACAGTCTGTCTATATTAGAGGAACAGCAGCGGCAGCAGCAGCAGCAACAAGCAGCGCAACAATCTACGTCACAGCAAGCGACACAGGGAACATCTGGTCAAACTCCCCAGCTCTTCCATTCACAGACTCTTACCACAGCCCCTTTACCAGGAACCACACCTCTGTACCCCTCTCCAATGACTCCAATGACACCAATAACTCCTGCAACACCAGCGTCAGAGAGTTCTGGGATAGTGCCACAACTACAGTGAGTGCCCCATGTCTTAGTGCATTGTGTCCTTTCTCAGATAGCCTTTTAAAGACTTAGGACCAAAGGCACATCAGGAATTGGGTACTGCATTTTGGTGGAAAGGGAGGATTCAG